GTTGTGCCTGGGAGACTGCCGCCAGGAGATCATCGGAGCGCTGGTCCAGCTGGGGGGCGAGCTGAAATCGGGAAGGGCTCCAGCGACGCACATGGAGCGCGAGATGCAGGAGTGGCTCGAAGCTTTTCTGTCGTAGATTCGAGTACGCGAGCGAGATCATCGTTATTCAATGAAGTGGTGGAGTTTGATATTGGCTCTGAATCGAAGGGGGGTTCACGACATACCGCTACACCTTATTCTCAGAGAGTGACGACAGGAACCTTTTCGAGTGATTCGCCAGCAATGTCAAGCAATGTACCTTCACGACCTAGTGCTTGGCGCGAGAGAGTGAACGCATCCATCTCATCACGATCGATACCACCACCCGCTTGCCTGTTGACATCGACCTTAGCAAGTACGTCGAGGATCCAGAGGCTCTTGAGGAGTAGTTCGCCGTGTACTCCGATTGCGAGACCTCAGAGGTTATCCCCGAGTTCCCAGAGGCCCTTGAGGAGTATTTCGCCTAGTGCTCCGATTGCCACCAGTGGATCTCAGAGGGCACCGTCGGGGACTCAGAGGCCCTTGAGGAGTATTACGCCCAGTGCTCCGATTGCCACCAGTGGATCCCAGAAGACACCTTTGGAGACCCAGAGGCCCTTGAGGAGTATTTCCACGCCCCCGACGATTGCCCAGTCGAGTTCCAGTAGGTTCTTAGGCCCTCAGGAGGTAGGGACAGAGGTGAGTAGGATCGCTGAGCGAGAATTGCAGCGTAGAGGAGGTGAGGCTCCGAGGGGCTCCAGGGATGTCGAGAGATACTTGATGTCCCTCGGGGTCGACAGAGATTCGGTCAGGTGGGAGGCTCTTGTGCGTAGTAAGCACGTGCAGGAGATGGTTCGCCGACAAGGGTGATGTTTTTCCCGCGGGCCTGGACACGGGCCATTCGTTCCCGCGTCTGGTGTCTCGGGCAGTGGACCAGGATACGGTCTAGCCTTGGGACCAGCGTCCCAGGCGTTTCGGATCCTATTTTAAGGATAGTCTCTGGGCCTTTTTGAGCCGTCGTAGGTGAACGAACTTGGCCCCAAGGGAGTGTTTCTTCTTCTTCTTCTCCCTCCCTCCCTCCCTCCCTCCCTCCCTCCTCCTCCTCCTCCTCCTCCTCCTCCTCCTCCTCGTCCTCCTCCTCCTCCTCCTCCTCGTCCTCCTCGTCCTCCTCCTCCTCCTCCTCCTCTCCTCCTCCTCCTCCTCCTCCTCCTCCTCCTCCTCCTCCTCCTCCTCCTCCTCTTCTTCCTCTTCTTCCTCCTCCTCCTCCTCCTCCTCTCCTCCTCCTCCTCCTCCTCCTCCTCCCCCCCCTCCTTCTCCTCCTCCTCCTCCTCTCCCCTCCTCCTCGTCCTCCTCGTCCTCCTCCTCCTCCTCCTCCTCCTCCTCCTCCTCCTCCTCCTCCTCCTCCTCCTCCTTCCTCCTCTCCTCCTCTCTCCTCCTCCTTTAACTCCTCCTCCTCCTCCTCCTCCTCCTTTAACTCCTCCTCCTTTAACTCCTCCTCCTTTAACTCCTTCTCCTCCTCCTCCTCCTTTTACTCCTTCTCCTCTTCCTCCTCCTCCTCCGCCTCCTTCTCCTCCTCCTTCTCTCCTCCTCCTCCGCCTCCTCCTCCCTTAGCACCTTCTCCTCCGCCTCCTCTGCCTCCTCCTCATCCTCCTTCTCCTCCTATTCCTCCTCCTCCTCCTCCTCCTCCTTCACTCCTTTTCCTTCTAAGTCATACTGGAGAAAAGCCCCAATCAGAATCTTGTCAGGCTGTAGGGCTATTGGGCTATAGGGCTATCAGGCTATTGCGCTAGAGGGCTATAGGGTTGTATGGCTATAAGGCTATAGGGCTATTAGGGCTATAGGGCTATAAGATTATAAGGCTATAGGGCTATCGGGCTATAGGGCTGTAGGGCTCTAGGGCTATAGGGCTAAAGGGCTATAGGTCTATAGGGGTGTAGAACTATCGGAGGTTGGGGGGTGAGATCGCAGTGAAACGGAGACTCCCCACTGGGAAATCGGTTTCGGTTTTGTGTTCGTGTCGTGCGTGCGGGCGAGGCGAAGCTGCGCGTGATCCTCTCCTCCTGTAGCTAGGCCGAAGTAGGAGCGAAGGTGCGTTCCCGTCCGCCGGTGGCTGGGAGGTGTCCCAATTGGGCCGGGCGGTGTCCCGGGTGTCCCGGGTGTCAGTAGGAGCGAAAGTCCGTTTCCCGTCCGCCGGTGGCCGGGAAATGTCCCAATTGGGCCAGGCGGTGTCCCGGGTGTCCCGGGTGTCCCAGGCGTCCCGGCGCTAACGCATGTCGCTAAATTCATAATTCATTTGTTTCGGCGCCTGCGGCGGGATTTCTTATCCAATCCAACTTATCTTATCCAATCCATCTTGTCCAATGAAATCCATCTTATCTATCCAACCCATATTGTCCCATCTTATCTTATCCCACCCAGTCCAATCCACCCAACGCAATCCAAACATTCATTTGTTTCTGCGCCTGCGGCGGGCCAATCCAATCCATCTTATATTATCCAATACATTTCTTCCAATCCAACCCATCTTATCTTATCCAATCCATCTTATCCCATCCAATACAATCCACCCAACCCAATCCATCAATTCATTTTTGTCGGCGCCTGCGGCGGGCTTTCTTATCCAATCAAGCTTATATATTATCCAATCCGTCTTGTCCTATCCAATCCATCTTATCTTATCCAACCCATCTTGCCCCTTATCTTCTCCCACCCAGTCCAATCCATTCAACCCAATCCATCGATTCATTTGTTTCTGCGTCTGCGGCGGGCCAATCCAATCCATCTTATCTTATCCAATCCATCTCTTCCAATCCAACCCATCTTATCTTATCCAATCCATCTTACCCCACCAAACCCATCTAATCCCATCCAATTCCATCTTATCCCATCCCATCCCATCCAGAGAGATGAGATCAAGGTGATAGGCTGGAGGTCAGTCAGGGTGGGCATTTGATCTCAATCCCCCCCAACCTCCTTATCGCCCGCAGGGCGGTCGTATAGGTATAGGGCTATAAGGCTATAGAGCTATAGGGATATAGGGTTATAGGCTATAAGGCTATAAGGCTATAGGGCTATAGGGCTATTGGGCTATAGTGCTATTATTAGGGCTATAGGGCTATAAGGCTATAAAGCTGTAGGGCTATAGGGCTGCCCGGGCGTGCCGCCGAAATCGACGCCGTACCTCACCCAACCATATGACTCCGCTAAGACCCCTACAGAGGCAAGCTCTGATTGGGGAATAACTTCTCTCTGTCGCACCCCGAGGCCTGTTTTTAGGGCGGGCCAGGCGTTTCGCCCGAGACATCCTCACCGCTTATGGCCCTGAGAGCGGCTGGTTTTCAAACTGTGGCTCTCGACGTAGCGCCAGGCACATTCGTTTGAAACAATTGCACGCTTCACATGTTGAGAGCTGGTCGTTTTCAAAATGTAGCTCTCGCCTTAGCGCCGCGCGCAGTCGTTGTAAAACATTGCACGCTTCACATATTGAGAGCTGGTCGTTTTCAAAATGTAGCTCTCGCCTTAGCACCGCGCGCATTCGTTGTAAAGCATTGCGAGAGCTTCACAGATTGAGGGCGGGTGGTTTTCAAAATGTCTCTCTCGCATTAGCGCCGCGCGCATTCGTGTTAAACATTTGCAAGAGCTTCACGGATTGAGGGCGGCTCCTTTTCAAAATGTGGCTCTCGCCGTAGCGCCGTGCACATTCATTCTCAACAATTTCAAGAGTTTGACGGATTGGGGGCGGATCCTTTTCAAAATGTGGCTCTCGCCTTCGCGCCGCGCCACAGTTGTTGTAAACATTTGCAAGGGTTTCACGGGTTCCCATGATCAGCGTACAAGAAATCGCGTTCTGGAAAGGTTCAGGGTTGCGAGGGCGCCACAATTACGTTGATTCGCGCTGTTGAAGTCCCAAGAATGGCGCTCTGGCACGATTCAGGATAATCAAAACGCACCAGTCAGGTTGATCCGTGGCGTTGGAGTCCGAGAATAATGTTTTGGCTTTGTTCGGGGTCTTCAAACATCTTCAAACAATTGTCTTCCAACAAAGCAATTCCTCCAGTGGAAATGAACCGTTGTAGGGGCCTGTGACGAGGGAGCCTGGAGGGAGGGTCTATTCCAACATCGTTGATGATTCTTGGGTTTGCACTGGTCCTCCTCCTCCTCCTGCTCTCCCTCCTTCTTCTCGAAGATCGAGAACCGAGGTGTTCGGAAACTATGGGCTCCTTCTGGCCATCCTGAATCCTCCTCCTCCTCCTCCTCCTCCGCATCCTCGTCATCCTCATCAACAGCATCCTCATCATCATCCTCATCCTCATCACACTCACCATCACCATCACTATCATCATCCTCAGCATCGTCATCATCATCATCATCAGCATCGTCGTCATCATCATCATCATCATCAGCATCAGCATCAGCACCATCATCATTATCATCACCATCATCATCATCATCATCATCATCATCATCATCATCATCATCATCATCATCATCATCATCATCATCATGATAATGATCACCGTCGCCATCGTCATCGTAAATATCATCAGCATCAACAGCAATGCTCAATCATCATCAGCATCATCAGCATCATCATCAGCAGCATCGGCATCATCAGCATCATCCGCAGCATCATCATCACCATCATCATCATCGTCATCGTCATCGTCATCATCATCAGTATCAGTATCAGCATCATCAGGATCGCCATCGGCATCAGCATCATCATCAGTATCAGCATCAGCATCAGAAGCAGTAACAACATCGTCAACCTCATCAACATCAACAACAACATCATCATCAACATCGGCATCATCATCAACCATCATCATCATCATCATCATCATCATCATCATCATCATCATCATCACCATCACCATCACCATCACCATCACCATCATCATCACCATCATCATCATCACCATCATCATCCGTGTCGCCTACTCGATTACGCATCCGTGCAGAACAACGCACCGCATTAATAATCATGAATCGCCGCCAGCCTCGCCTCCCTGCATGCGCTCGATGAAATCGAAGAAAAACTCCGCCTGCTCGTGAGTGGGCTTGGCGGAGATGGTGGTCTGGATACCCTGCTCCTGCAACTTCGCGGGCAGGATCTCCGTCAATTTCTCGATGAGCGCAATGTTCACCTTGTCCCTCACCTTCGCCTGCACGGTGTCGAGGGCCTCGGCCAGCTCGAGCGCCTCGAAACTTTCGAGCATCTGCCCAAACTTCTGGCCGAAGGCGTCGCCTTTGGCGAGGGTCACGAGCTGTACAGGTGTGACCTCGGTCACCTGGGCGCGCAGCACGATGAAGCTGCCGAACTGGTAGCGCGCCTTGCACTCCAGCGTGATGCCCTTCTCGGCGAGCACAGCGGGGATTTTCTCCACGAGCTGCGCCGCCACCTTGGTCGCGATCTTGGACTCCGTCACGACCTTCTTGGCCATCGTGCTGGCGGCCTTTCCGAAGAACCCCGACCCGAGCTTCCCCTGCACTTGAGAGGTGACCGCGGCGCTGCTGTCGACAACCACAATGTTCAGGTAGAAAGGCTCGCTCTTCGTCATGGCCATCGGTGGGATCAGCAGCGAGCAGCGGAGGCGGCGGCGACGGTTGGGCTTCTGCTGACCATTGACCTCGGCTAGAGACGCTGATGGCTCCGAGGACGATGACGGCGACTCGCTCTGCTCCCCTTCCCCCCGTCCCTCCGTCCTTCGCCCTCCTACCTCACCACTCCTTCCTCACCTCCCTCCCACCTCCCTCCTCCGTCCTCACTGCTGCTCCCTGCCAGCACGTCAAAGTGGCGCCAAGCTCGCCGGACCGTACATTGACTGGACCGCCCTGGGACCCACGAGGACGCCATGTGTAGACCGATGACAGGGCTTCCTCTCTCTCAGCTGATCTCTGAGATCTACTGAGAGCGTACATTCACCTGACGGGTGAATGTACGCCCGATCGTCTCTGGAAAGATCGGAAGTGGGCTTTAGAGCGCCTCGTCCGAAGCCAGTCCCAACCCGGGGTGCCAAGTGCATGCGATCGCTGGCTGCGTGCTCGCCCGTGCACCCGATTAACCTTTCAAATTTGCTGGGCTGTGCCCGCGTCCCGGGTGCCTGATCACGGACGTCGAGGACGTCGAGGCACAGATCCACTCCACACATGTGGGGGCGCAAGTGGTGTCGGAAATACGCAACACACTCTGCGTAATTAGCCCGCTGTGAACACGACCAAGACTGAACCCAGAAACGTCAGTGTCGATCTTGGGCATCGCCCATCTTGACAATTGTCAGATCATCCCCGCGAACCGACGACGGCCGGCATAGTCCATGACCAAGATCGGCGTCGACAGGATCCCGCGACATCGTGGTCATGGCCATCGTGCTGCTGCCCTCTGCAAGACCAACAACCATCGACGGCGAGCCCAGGGGGAAAGTGGGAGGTAGGCAGAGGGATTGATGCGAAGTCCCCTCCCCCCACCTGATCCTCCTCTTCCTCCCCTCTCTCGTCCTCCTCCTCATCCTCCTCCTCCTCCTCGTCCTCCTCCTTCTCCTCAGATTCGCATCACGTGACGGATCCAAGTCGCCGAAGAGGGGGCAGGCCTTCTCAGAAGGCGACAAGGCTTCTCAGAAGCCTTCCAGCCTTCTGAGAAGCAGCCCCTGCCTTCGGAGAAGGACTCGAGTACTTCTCGGACCTTCCGAGCCTTCTGAGAAGAGCCCGCCCCGTCCCACTTCCCCCTGGGGCACGCCGCCGAGCCATGGCCTGCCAGACTAAGACCAGTAAGACGATGGCGAGGACGGCCAGGCCGATGGGCGCGCGGGAACGCCAAGGTCACCCGACCTCGCGCCGCGCGCCGCGCGGGAGCTGCTTTCTTCGCGCTCTGGCGCGGCCTCCTGGAGGAAGAACGCCTCTCGAGCGTCTCCCGCACGCCGGCCCAGGGGCTCAGCGTCGGCGGATCTGGGGCAGCGCTCGACCGAGAGAGCCAGATGCCTCGCACCCAGAGGGAGGCGAGTGCGTGTGCTGCAGACTCAGCGGGGCAACGGCGACCTCGTCACTTCGTGCGACAGATCAGCACGAGCCTACAACAGTGCAACGGGGCCAAGTACCGTCCCGATGATCACCTTCCTCGACCAGGTCAGCATCGACACGTCGAAACACCATGAATCCAGCACCGCCTTCCGATCCGGCACTGCAGAGTTCCTGCGCCGCAGCAGGCCAAAGTTGCCCAGGACCAGGCTCGCGAACAAGGAAATCCAAGTGCACGGCGCGATCCCTCGCGCACACTGCAGGGGTAGTCCATCGAGTTGGCGATTCGGGAGCCCAACATAAATCCGCCTGCGCTTCGGCGTGTGCGAGACGCTGTCGTCGTCTTCGTCGTCTTCGTCGTCGACGCCAATTCCAAGGAAAGGAACGTCGTAGTTAAGTCAATTCCCTCCCCTTTTCCCATCCCTGACGGGGTTGAGGGGGGGGGTCCCCGGGGAGGTCCCGCCTTCAGTGTCGGCGGCACAGGCTGTAAGGACTTCACAGTCGAGGTGGTTCACGCCCAGAGCGGCAATCAGCAATCAGCTCTTCAAGGAGGGGCAACTGGTCACGCAAACGAGCCCAAGACCAACGAGCGCCTGATCGCAGGTTGCATGGCAAGGGCCTCCAGCTGCCTGAGCAGGAGGAGGACAGGGCTCTCGGCGGCTGCTGGGAGCTTTCCAACCCTTTGGCATCCTTTCTGTGCTCTTCGGTGGTTTCCGGGTGTTTCTGGAGTCTTCCGGAGGCTGCCAAAAAGGAAAAGGCAGGAGAGCAGACTCCACAGGCTCAGCTCCACGACTGCACAAAACACAGAAGTAAAAGCGATGAGGAGGAGAATGGGCAGGGCGGGATGGCTACGAGGCGCAGCAGAACGGAGGACGGCTACAAAGCCGACGTCTACGGCGGCAACCGCAGCTGCGTACGAGACAGAGAAAGCAGGAGAGGAGACTGCAGCGCCTACGACGACTTCGAGGCGAAGGACACAAGTATCTAATTGCATCGCCTGCGGCGGCTACGGCGCCTACGATACTTACGAGGCAGAGCAAGCTGGAGAGAACACTACAATGGCACGAGGGGCCCGCCTGAAGACCTACGCTCCGCGAAGGCTAAGCCCGAGCTGGAGAGAAGGCTACAACGGCAACAACTAAGTATTACAAGGGTCACATAGAGGTATACGTTCTGCTGGTGCTAGGCCCAATGTGCACACTGTCTCCTCCACCTCCCTCCCTTGTGCTTCGCGTGTGTGTGCGTGTGTGTGCGTGTTCGTGTGCGCGTGCGCGTGCGCGTGCGCGCGCGTGTATGTTTGTGTGTGTGTGTGTGCGTGGATACGCTGGCCTGTGGTCTCCGCCTTCGACCACGGTTGCGATGCTGGGTGGTAAATTGTTGCGACAGTTAGCGCCTCTTCCTATCTTTCGCGACGGCGGTACCATCACCTCACCAGAGGAGGAACGTGTGTGTGTGTGTGTGTGTGGGGCGTTTGTGCGTGTGTGCGTTTGTGCGTGAGTGTACGTGTGCGTGTGCGTGTGCGCGTGCGCGTGCGGTTCTGGTTCTGGTTCTGGGGGCCGTGCTTCTTTTTTGCCCCCTGTGCGGCGTAGAGCGAGACGCCAACGGCACACAGCTCAGCGGCATGCCTTACACCTGGGCTTCCCCGCTGCCGGGCCCGGTTTTTCTCCTACGGCCTGCGCGCACCCACCGCCCTTACAGCTGGAAGCACTCCCGCCACAGCAATACTGTCCTTTTTAACCCTTTTCGCCTGTCTCGCACTCTGTAGTACGTCGCGTTTAATGGTGCCTTCTGGGCCTGTTCTTACACTTTACGTGCGGTTCTTCACGCCGCTCTGCATGGCTTCGGCATCTTTCACGTGTACTGGTTCCGGCCCCTTGCTTCTCACTGCAAGCGGCAGCCACGTCCTGAGCCCCCACCTGCAACGCCTGGTGGTATAGACCTAAGCGTGTCCCGCCCTAGCGCCTCGCTTTGTTGGATCAGCCGGCCGCTGACAACACAGAAATATATGTATGCGTGCGGTCCCCTGCCTCCTCCGAGAGTCTATGCGTAGCGTGGTCTCCTATGGGTGAGCTCTACGCTTCCTGGCTAGGGCTGCGTGAGGGTGAGAGTGATAGAGGCCTCCTAGATGGTGTCCGAATAGATGGGGTCGCAGGATCTCGCCGCATCGACGACGTCGGCGGTGCATCGGCGACGCCAGCGCGGATCAATTTGGGCTAGACATCGAGCCGCATCGGAGATGCAAAGGCGATGCAGCGCAACCCTCCAACCCCATCTACTCTGACGCCATCCGTGAGGCCTCAGAAGTGAGGCGCGCTCTTAGCTCGGGTTTCTTTGCTGGTCAGCGGGCGCGAGAAGAGTCAGGCGCCAGTCGAGCAACGGCAGAGACACTCCAAAAGCGAGCACGGGGACGCACTGACCCGAATCAATGCACACCCGGGTCAGTCCGGCTTTGCAGGATGCTGCTAGATCCTGCACGCAAGCCCGGGCCAATGCAACCTTGACACTGCAAGATCCTGCGAGATCCTGCGATCTGGCTGACCCCCGTTTGCACTGATACCCGTCTCAAGGCTCTCTACGAGCTTTGCTTGGTACACTCGCCGGCCGCGCCCGACTCCGAGTCGCTGCGCGCGGCCGCGGCGCTAAATGATGGGCCTGTTTTCCACCACCATCACAACCGTAAGTTGGAGGGGGGGATGAGGTGGAGGATGAGGAGGAGGAATTCGCCGGCCCAACGGGCCAGAGGCGTGCTGAGATCTCCGGTAACTGCTCAACAATATTTCTAGTTCGCGCGCGCGGGGCGGGCCCTGGGGGTCCCCGGACGAAAAGTACCCCGGCAAGGTTCCGGCAAGGTCGGCAAGGTCCCTTTTCGGAGCCCAGGAGGGCTCCAAACGGTCCAAGAGGGGCCCGAGAAGCCCTCCAGACGGTCCAAGAGAGCCGGGAGACGCCGAAATATCACTCCCAAACGCCTGCGATGGCCTCAAGACGGCCCAACAGGCCTTCAAGACGCCCCAAGAGGTCCCTAAGCGGCGCCCCAAGAGGGGCGTCCCAGCAAAAACGCAAACATATCCGCCTCTTCGTCTTTCACACCTTTCAAGGCGGTCCAAGAGGCCCCCAAGATCACCCCAAGACGGCCCGAGAGACCCTCAAGACCGCTCAAAGACGGCCCAAGAGCGCTCCAAGAAGGCCCAAGAAACCCTCAAGAACTCTTTTTCGGAGCCCAGGAGGGCTCCAAATCGGTCCAAGAGGGGCCCGAGAAGCCCTCCAGACGGTCCAAGAGAGCCGGGAGACGCCGAAATATCACCCCAAACGCCTACGATGGCCTCAAGACGGCCCAACAGGCCTTCAAGACGCCCCAAGAGGTCCCTAAGCGGCGTCCCAAGAGGGCTCCCACAAGCAAAAATCGTGTCATTCCCTTAGGAAAGCGCGCATTTTTAACATATCCGCCTCTTCGTCTTTCACCCCTTTCAAGGCGGTCCAAGAGGCCCCCAAGATCACCCCAAGACGGCCCGAGAGACCCTCAAGACCACTCAAAGACGGCCCAAGAGCGCTCCAAGAAGGCCCAAGAAACCCTCAAGACGGTCCAAGAGGCCCCAAGAGGGCCCCATGATTGAGGTCCACAGGGGCAACCTGAACGGAA